CTCCACCTTTTAACAACTAAAATTTGGCATCCACCCATGAACAAAAGTGCTTCTGTGGGAGTTGTGGGATCCAGCATCATACACCAAAGGCCCCAGGAGGAGTTGTGCCCACCTATGTATCAGGTAATAGGCAGACAGACCTCAGCATAGGCTGCGGAATAAGCAGGAGCCAGTGAACTGGCCTCAGTCCCTCTCAGCTATGGTTGAAAATATGGAGAGTGCTGACTTGGGCAGATACTCACAGATAAGAGAGCCTTTGCACAGTCCAGTCTTCCCGAGGAGAGGCTCAAGCACTTCAATGGAGGAAAAATATATATATATAAGTTTGGATGCACTGGAGAGAGTTAAGAGGAACTTTGCCAACACTGCCTTTCCCTCAAGGTGGCATAGTGAAAGCCTGAACTAGCCAGTGGCAACCTCTCCCACACTGGGGAAAGGAAGAATGATGAGTATGTGCCTGGCCTCCCCAGCTGTGCAGGACATTGCTGGGAAAAAAAATTTCTCTCCTGCAGCACTCAGAGTAGTGAGGTGGGATCTCCTTGACTGGGGAAGGTAGGAGACTGAGAAAGAGGCAAATAAGAATATTAGAGGGCATTTAAAAAAGGATGCAGTTCCTTCTGGTTGTGTTCAGGAAACCTGCCCACCAGCTGCTGAGGAAAGCCAGCAGGCACTCCTGACACCTTCTGAGTGTTAAATTCACACTTCCTTCGACTCTGCCACTGGCTCCTTGTGCATGCTCCTGAGTGTGGCAGCAAGAGCACGCTCTGGTGGATAAGCTCATATGAAAAACAAGGCAGGGTCTGTGGGCAGGGGAGAAACTAGAGCTGTAGCACCACCTTCTGGAAGCAAAAGAGAGGTTTACAGCAGTCAGCCTGCTAAGATCTAGAAAAGACATACACGCTTAATAATTCTGCCACAAAGAGGGAGCAAGAAGCGTGAAGCAGGTATGTCATATAAAGTCAGAGAAAACCCCAGATATAAGTAGGGTGAATGAAGACTATCTCCTATCTGAAGGCAATTAGTAAAAAAATGAACTGCTACTTGAAATGCAAAAACAGCAACACGAAACTTCAAGGAACATGAAGAATCAAAGAAATGTGACATTACCGAAAAATCTCAGTAATTCTCCAGTAACTAAACTCAAAGATGCAGAATTCTATGATTAACCTGAAAAAGAATTCAAAATAGCTGTTTTAAGGAAATTCAATGAACTGCAAGAAAACACAGAAACACAATTCAATGAAATCAGGAACACAATACATGAACAAAGTGAGAAGATTAACAAAGAGATAAAAATCATAAAACAGAATGAAACAGATTCTGGAACTGAAGAATTCAATGAATGAAATGAAAAATGCAACAGAGTATCAACATCAGAATAGACCAAACAGAAGACAGAACAGTGAGTTAGATAGGAACTGTGAAATACTCTATCAGAAGAGGACAAAGAAAGAATGAAGAAAGCCTATGTGATCTATATAAAAACATCAAATGATCAAATATCAGAATCATTGGAGTTCTATGAAAAGAGAGGGAGATGGGGGCAGAAAGTTTATTTAAAGAAATAATAGCTGAGAACTTCTCAAACCTAAGAAGAGATCTGGACAACCAAATTCTCAAACCTAATAGTCCATTATTGCAACTGAATGAGACCTTCTCTAAGACACACTATAATGAAACCGTGAAAAATAAAAGACAAAGAGAGAACCCTGAAAGTAGCAAGAAAAAATATATTGTCACATATAAGGAACCCCCATTATGCTATCAGTATAGTTATCAAAATAGTATGGTATAGGCTTAAAGATTAACATATACACCAATGGAACAGATCAAGTGTCCAGAAATATACCCACGCATACACAGTTAACTAATACTTGAGAAGGAAGCCAAGAACACTTGGGGGAAAAATAGTGTCCTTGATAAATGGTGTTAGGAAAATGATATTTACATGAAATTGGACTTCTATCCTATACCACTCATAAAAATTAACTTGAAATGGATTAAAGACTTAAATATAAGACCTGATGCCATAAAACTCCTAGAAGAAAACATATGGAATTAGATCCTTGGCATTGGTCTTGGCAATGCTTTTTGGATTGTGGCATCAAAAACACAAGCAACAAAAGCAAACAGCAAGCAAGACTACATCAAACTAAAAAGCTTCTGCACAGCAAAAGAAATAACAAAATGAAAAGGCAACCTATGGAATGGGAGAAAATATTTGCAGATCATCTATCAAATGAAAGATTAATATCCAAAATGTATAAAGAACTCATACAACTCAATGACAAAAATACTGGTTAAAAATGGGTAGGAAACAATAAATATTTTTTTGAAAGAAGATATCCAAGTGGCCAACAGGTACATGAAAAGACAATCAACATCACTAATTATCAGGGAAGTAAAATCAAATCCACAATGAGATATCCTCTCACACTTGTTAGAATAGCTGTCATCAAGGAGACAAGAGAAAACGAATGTTGGTGAGCATGTGGAGGAAAGGGAACTCTTGTGCACTGTTGGTGGGAATGTAAAGTGGTGGAATCACTATGGAAAACAATATGGAGGTTTCCTCAGAAAATTTAAAATAGAATTACCATGTGATCCAGCAATCCCACTTCTAGGTAAATATCCAAAGGCAATGAAAACAGAATATGGAAGAGATACCTGCACTTGTATGTTTATTGCAGCATTATTCGCAAGAGCCACGGTATGGAAACAACCTGTCTGTCAACAGATCAATGGATAAAGAAGATGCGCTACATATACATACAATGGAGTGTTATTCAGCCATGAGAAAGAAGGAAATCCTGCCACAGGACACAGATGGACCTTGAGGCATTATGCTAAGTGAGGTAAGTCAGCCAGAGAAAGAAAATACTGTATTATTTCACTTGTATGTAGAATCTAAAAAAGTAAAACTTGTAGAAACAAAGTAGAATGGTGATTACCAGGGGCTGGGGGTGGGGGAATAAGAGAGATGTTGGACAAAGTGTACAGACTTGCAACTAGAAAATGAGTAAGTTCTAGAGATCTAACACACAGCACAGTCACTTTAGCCAGTACTGTATTATAGAATTCAAAGGTGCCAAGAGACTAGATATTAAGCGTTCTCACCACAAAAATGAAATAATATGACTTGATAGAGGTGTTAACTAACACTATGGTGGTAACCAGTTGTAATCATATTGCAATATAATAATGCATCAAAACAACACATTGTACACCTTAAACTTACATAATATTTTATGTCAATTATATTAAACAACAACAAAAAAAGAAAAAACTCTAAAAGCCTGGTATATCTTTTGAATGGACAGAAAATCATTAAGGTGATATCAGAATTACCCAAGAAGGTACTCAAACAGTTTCATCAGCACCACTAAATTAGTATATTTGCTTGCAAGGAAAAGATGTACATTAGAAATCTATTCTACTATGTTGGCATATGCAAATAATGAAAACCACAGAAATTCTGTGTTAGTTATAGACCAAATATAAGGAAATAAGGCAGAAGAGATATTCTAAACATGTTTTAAACATGCAGCACCAATTAAGTTGAGGTTATAATTTCAGTCTTTGTAGACAAGTGGCAACACAAGGAGTCCTGGCAGAATTCTTCATGGCCAATAAAGAATATTATATTATCAGTGTTTATTAGTTAGGCGGAAAGGAATTCTAATGAAAAATCATAGGAGGAAATTTTATCAAAATTGACCTTTT